TCCTGAGCATTTTGGAATGAACCTCGTTCATTCGCCAGTCTTTCATTCATCATGTGAGGATTATGGCAAACTTGGTTGACCAACCGACTGATCAAACATTTTTGGTTCGAATGACGTGCAACTTAATTTATATCGGCATGTTTTCACGGCACATCTGATTCTCAGACCCTTACAAGATTCTCTGCTCCCGCTTTGATGTGCATTTGTATGAACCAGATGAATTATCAGTTCCAATCGAGATTCGATACCACACTGCAAGAACCCCATCTGGCTCCTGATCAGTCCATCGTGACAAAAAGGAGGTCAATCGGGTGATGTAAATGACTCAAGACCGTAGTGTGAGATCACTTGAGCCTCTTCATCTCATCCTCCTCCACATGATGTGACTGATCTTATTGTTATGATGATGAAAGTATGAAGTCATTAATTAATATTAATAAGTTTCGCTGGACTTGAACTGCAATTTCGATTTGGATCAGGTTAAAGTGAGTGAATTTGAACAAAAGAATACCAGTCTCAACAATTTGTGAGTCTTTCGAACACCTCCTTTTCGATTTGTACTTTGATTAATTCCTCAGAGTCAAACCAACTTTCCTCACTTTACGATCAGATCATCATTTTATTATAATAGTCCCTGATACAGACATTTAACATTTTAAGTCAAAATTATCCACAATCTTGATTGGAATCCACTCTTGCATTGACTCTTGAATCCTTTTATAACTGACTGGGCTGGTTCCTTATAATTAAATTCAACTATCTCTCTTTCTTCCTCTTCCGTCATTCTCACTCAACTTCACAATTCAAACAACTCACAAACCTAAGCGTCTGGATCTTGATCCTTCATCAACGTATTCCATTTCTCCCAAATTGCTTCGCTTATTTTCAAATCACCTCATTGCCATTGACATTCGTTGCACAATCACTAATTCAACCACTGAACACCACAGGTCCATCCTTCCAAGATTACCTTTTATTATTGTTCTCGACTTCCAACTACGTTACTTGCTTTACTCTGAACATCCGATATCTTGTTCTAGGACCTCTCCATTAAATTGAAAATGTTTGTAAACACGGATTCGAGTGACCTTTCTAGCGTGTCATCTTTGAGTTCTCTATCCTCGTCATCAATCGACTCCGATTACTTCGACGTCCCCACACCTCCACTATCACCATCCCGTCAAGCTCATCGTATTCCACCGATATCAATGACTGCCGATCCCGTCAAATTCACATTGGACATGAGCTTCAATAGACATGGGTCCAACACCAACCTGGAGAAACGCTTTGCTTGTTCTATCGATCCTCTTGCTCCGCCTACTTCTTCTCAAAGCAGATCGGATACTTCAAGCATTGGGGAGAATGCTGGCGAGGAAGAATGGAAAGCGTTGTATTCGAAATGGAACTTCCCTGTCCGAACCGACAGTCCACGAGGTCTCACTTGGGGACCTTACCATACCACGCCGGATATGACTCCATCAACTTCTACTGCCTCTCTCCCATCGAGTGGAATCAAACGATTACGCACCTCGAGTAATGCGGAAAACAAATCAATGGTGACTGAGCCGAAGCGACAACGATTGGTTCCTATACTTCGTCTTCCTCGCAATCCCTTGATTGTAAGGCTTGTCATGGGCACATCGAAATCAACCTCTCAAATGAACTCAACAGAAACTGTGGCACTCCGTCAAACACCAACATCAATGACCTTTGTAGAAACCTTGACGGAAGTGTTGGTTTCTCTCCCTACATCCAAACCTTCTGTAAGACCAAGGATCACACTCAGCAGGTCGAGCAAATTGAAGTACGGCGTATAGAGTACAATCGATGATCTCGTGAGCCACATAAATCTTGCCGTCATCCAATGCTTGATTCATTAGCTGATAATGATCCCTTTTAAACCTCAGTTACCGTGATAATTCTGCTTAACGAACACAATTCAAATACTGCTTTTGTTGATACTTGACTCTCCTATCTAATTAATACAACCAGAAAAATAATTCATCTTCGTTTTTCTTGTGTTTGAATTTAATCCACACTTCTACTCACATCTTTTTGTTTGATCTTAACGCATCCCCCTTGATTAAATATTTTCGAAAAATACTTACCACTTTAATATCATGTCACTTTCTTGGATCTTAATGACAATCAAATGCCCTGCCCTTTTCAAAGATTTATTTTCTCCTTCGATCTTTCTTTGTACTTCTTGTAGCAAAACCTCAGCAATTTTCTACCTGTGTAATATAGGTTCCTGTACTTTTTCATGATCTACCTGGTACATTCTACGTATACACAAACTTGACAGTCGACTCTCGAGTCTCAGCCCATAAGAGTTTTGCTTCAAATCTGTTGAGAAAATCAATCACACTTCATATAAAGTTTTCAGATCGTCAAAATAAATGCAGTAGGATTTGTATTATCTCCTCTCCAAATTGTTGTTGAACAAAGTAAGACTTTGCAAATGAATTTGTAGAACGTGAAGATTATATCACAGCGGGTTACGGTTTAACAAGTCCATTTAGAAGATCACTTGAAAATATACAATATGAAGATATGAAGACGTAGGTGAGAATAGGCATGAACAGAAGGCGAAATCGAATGAAGTGAGAGTAGGACAAAGTGTACGAACTCGGAGTCGAAGGAGTGAACTCTGAAGAATGGAAACTGTATCATGGGATTTGGGTTATACATATCATATCTGAACATGGCTTTACAGATGTAGATATCCTATGATTACCCTTCACAACTCCATACAAATCAGCATAAACCATTGAGATCAAATATTCAATGATCACTTTCAACCCAGTATAACTGAATTAGATACAAGTTAAGGAAATTAAATCTTTAAAAGATCAACTTGTTTTGTCTTTTAAACATTGCTTTTGCAATTTAAACATTACACAATCACAATATGCAAAATCAAATTTGGTAATCTGAAACTAATCATCTGCTATCACACAGGTAAATAAGCCACCATTCATAATCATTACCTTGAGTCTGACAAAGATCCAAAATTGAAAGTCAGAAAACACTTGATCAAAACAGAGAGCTTTCCACAAAGACTCATTTTTTAGTGTAAAGGGGACAGTGTTTTGAATCTTTTGCACGTTTGATAATTGTTCCTCTACACCTTCTTTTGCTGTAAAAGGTGTGAGTTTACTGGTGAATTTCCCAATTGGAAGATCACATTTCAGCTGCTCTTGTTATTTCAGCTGATTTCAAAATGAACACTACAGTCAGATGTGCAGCATCAAGCAACGCAAGAGGGTATTGAGTCTAATGGACCAAGAAGTATTTTGACTTCACAGGATTGACATACCAAACTCAAAAGTATGTACAAGGCATGGAAACAAGAAAAATATGTCTGTATTTAGTCTTGATCAAGTCAAAAAACTGTTAGGTTTCAGTCCAAAAACTTTCTTGGCCATTTTCTCATCTCATTGTCTCATAGCAAGTAAATATGTGCAATCATCAAAGTTAGTTAGGACAAAGCTCACTCCTAAATATTTCAATTTCATGAACAAAATTCCTGAATAGTCTTCAGTTGAATTACTCAAGGAATAATGCATCTGAGAAGACCAATTTCCTGCTTGCTGAGTCATGTTTTTTCATGTGGGTACATGTTACTTTGTTGCATATGCTGCTATCTCAACAAGCTACATGTATGTGGTTGGAAGAAGAGTTTTCTGTGCTGGGCTACATACACAGCAGAAAAACAAAAGCCCGAGAGAGCTGCATTACTCCGGGCCTGGCCGGGTCCATGCCTTAACACTACCCGCACAAAGCTAATTCAAATCTGGGTACGCCAGCGGCCAGATCACACCGCGGGAATTAACTCGTTTGAAGCCCGATTGAGTGAAATTTCGGTGTCCGGGTTCGAAATTTCCTCAAATCAAGAAACTCGTTCACAACTCGTTAGCATTAGGTTTGCCAATTTCCCTCGGGCTGTACCGTGTACTCTGCTGGCCCCGTGTATGTACAGTCACATGATAAAATAACAACCCCTTTCACCATTACTCGCCTTCACCTTCCTTTGTCAAGCCTTGATCAACCAGATACACAAGAAAGGAGTTCAGTGGGGAAGTGAGACAGCCAAACCGTTGGAATCAAAGGTTTTGAGAGTGCTGTGTATGTATATGTATTGTAGCGTACTCAAGGGAAATCGGCGAACATAATGCTAACGAGTTGTGAACGAGTTTCACGATTCGAGGAAATTTCGAACCCGGACACCGAAATTTCGCTCAATCGGGTTTTGAACGAGTTAATTCCCGCGGTGTCAGCTGTTCCATCCACAGAGCCCAGATGCTCTCACAACATGATCTTCTCTTTCCGAAGTTCCACCGGAACTTTGATGCCACATCTATGATAGTTGTGCACACAACATTGCCTATGAAATCCTTGAAGAGGATTTGGCTCTAGCGTTTCAAGCCATGTCCATTGATCTAGGACTCATAAACTTGATTTTGACTCATTTGGACTCAGACTTATTTGATATTTCTATTGTATGGTTCAACCATGGGTGGTAAAAGAGTACCAAGATGACGCATACAAGTCAACACTTAACCTCATCAAAAATCTTTCACTTGGCACAAAAGATGCCACTTTACATCTGCCTCGTTTCCGAACGCGTAATAGTGGGAGGTCAAACAGCAAACTCGCATCCCCTCTTTGCGGGCTGACTTTTATCTCCTAGATATGTGCCTTGTCTATGAGCTCTTATCACGGTATGTTACTTAACCCGTGAGGTTAAGAAACTGAAATTGATCTTAAGCAACTGAACTCGATTGAGGTTAAGAACCGAGATCTATTTAAGCTTGTGCTGCGAGCTCTCCAACTGGATTTCGCAAAGGTGCATCGAGTCATTCAAGTTGAATATCGTTGATGTGCAGACTGGCCATTGCACGATCGTGAAGAAATTGGATTTTATACCGATTAATTAGGAGAAGTCAACCTTTTTCAACACATGTTGGGAAGTTCACAAGAATTTGGGGTCAGAGTCATACGGCTGAGGCAAAACATTCGAGAGTATCGAGTTATTTCCTGATAATGTGATTGAAGTCGGGCTGGATGTAACATTTCATTACCTTGAGGGGTCATTTGCTTATGATAGATGACTCTGACTGTAGTCTGACCAGATTACTTAAAGCTGTTCTCGTGATCCTCCAGATGATGAAACTGATTTTATTGTCATTAATGAATGATGATAGATTTTCATCAAAGACAAGATGTAACCTTCATCATGAGCCCTTGATAATTTCGATTTGGACTTTGATTTCAATGTGAACCCAATCAATGTGGGTGTATGTCAAACAACTTGGCCTGTCCCATTTGTATCTTTCATCCTCTTGAACATCTCCTTTTGAGTCAAGCCCCATCAATTTCTGCTCTTTATTATCAGGGACAATTGTAATAGTTCCTGATAGAAATCTTCGACAGTTTGATTCCAAATAATCACCCATATTGATAATCAACTCCAACACTCAAACTATTTCGTCGTAAACTGGGTTAGTTCCTTATTACCAACTGCAACCATTCTCATTCTTTCCCTTTCTTCATTCTCATATCCAACAACTTCAACATTCAATCCACTTACAAATTCCACGCTCTAAACTCTTCATTCCTCATCAACCTCTTTCACCTACCACTTGATTACTTCTCCTTGATTGCCTTTTCCATATCAGCTCTACTCACATTTGCTGTACAGTCACTGATTCTACTACAGAATACCACAGGTACATCCCTCCAAGAGTCACTCCTATCGTTGTGCTTTATTGTTAACTGTGTTTCTCCCTTTCCCCCCACTTTCTCATCCCTTATTTCTAGGACCTCTCCCTTGAATTGAAAATGTCTGTAAACACGGATTCGAGTGACCTTTCTAGCCTGTCATCTTTGAGTTCTCTATCGTCATCATCATTCGATTCCGATTACTTCGACGTCCCCACACCTCCACTATCACCATCCCGTCAAGCTCATCGTATTCAACCGATATCAATGACTGCCGATCCCGCCAAATTCACATTGGACATGAGCTTCAATAGACATGGGTCCAACACCAACCTGGAGAAACGCTTTGCTTGTTCTATCGATCCTCTTGCTCCACCTACTTCTTCTCAAAGTAGATCGGATACTTCAAGCATTGGGGAGAATGCTAGCGAGGAAGAATGGAAAGCGTTTTATTCGAAATGGAACTTCCCTGTCCGAACCGACAGTCCACGAGGTCTCACTTGGGGGCCATACCATACTACATCGGAGGTCTCTTCCTCAACTTCCATTGGCTCTGTCTCAATGCGGAGAACCAAACGATCTCGTGAATTAAGCAATACGGAAAATGAACCACTGGTGACTGAGCCGAAACGACAACGATTGATTCCTATCCTTCGTCCTCCTCACAATCCCCTGATTGTAAGGCTTGTCGTGGGCACGCCAAAATCAACCTCTCAAATGAACTCAACTGAAACTGGGGCACCCCCACAACTTCAAGCATCTACTTCAATGACATGTGTAGAAACCTTGATGAACATATCGGTCACCCCTCCTGCGACGCAACATCCTAGAAAATCAAGGATTACTCTTAGCAGGTCCAGTAAATTGAAGTACTGTTCATAGCGAAGCATTGATGAACTTGTAAGCTTCATTAATTATAACATAGACTTGATTGATTTACGAGCTGACATTGATCACTTCTCCAGAATACAGCCGTCACCAACTTTGTAATCGAAGACGTTTCAAATATTTTTCTTGGCTTGTCGATGACTTGCTTATTAATCGCATTTCACAAATGATCCATTTTCATTCTTCTTTAGCTTCCAAACCTACATTCACGCTTCAGATCGTATCTCTTTTGTTGTATTCAAACACATTTTCCTTGATCCCATATCTTGAAAGACGCATACAAACTGAATCCCATGTTTTCGTTTGGACTTCGAATTTTTCTTCTTTTTCGTCTTTTAATCTTTCTTCGTACTTCTTGTAACAAAAACTACACGTTGTTCGATTTGTATAATAAATGGACTTGTACTTCTTTACAATCTACTTCGTACATCTTACTTGAATATGAATTTGATAGTTAGTTTTAAACCAATGAAAGTCTTTCGTTCAAATCTCGTGAGAAAATCGATTTTATGGGAATACACAAATCCAGAAACAAAACACAAAATATATCAATTACAAAGACATCTGAGACAGAAGACCGAGAGAAGATATCAACCTACGGAAAAGACAAAGAGACACTATCTCCAAAAGGCAGTCGAATCAAAAGACTAGGATTTTAAAGTGACATCCAGAGTGGCCATATTATAAGTGTGAAGAAAATCAGATGGCAGATTACTTAATTGGCAAAACTCGGATGTTTGTAACACACAAAGGAAGGTTCACGGGACTGATGAGGTCATTATGGGGTTGAGCTCACAAGTCCGAGACATTCAAGCTTATCGCTGTCTTTACTGATGATGGTTTTGCAGTCACAAAATACTTGCATGGCATGATCCATGCGCATGGATGTAACATTTCATCTCTATGTATGAGTAAGTTGGGGATGGTGAATGACTCTGACTGCAGTCTGAGATCACTTCAGCCTGTTGAGCTCCTGCTCCTCCAGACAATGGCCTGATGGTGGTAATATCTCTCTCAAGAGCAAAATGTATAATTCATCGTGAGCCATTAAATCATTTGAACTTGCACTTTGATGTCTTTGGACCCGGTGGATACTCACAAAAAATGAGTCTTTTTGGTTTGTACTTAGTATTGTTGGGAGCTTCTTTCTCTTCTTGAGTCAACCGTCTTCACTTTTTGGTGGAATCATATTATTTTAAGGAACGATTGAAACGATTCCTGATGCAGCAGGTCTCTAACCGTTTGATGATTCACAATAATAACCAATCATGATCATTATTAATGACCCCTCAACTCTCAACTTCCTTGACGCGTTTGGTGGCCTACCTTCCAATCAACTTCAATGTATCTCCCCTTTTCAACAGTACAGTCGTGATTGTTTGTCCATGTATCCCTTCACTACCCCAATCTGGCCAATAATCAAGCTTTAAGTCTTGGGACAACGGACATTGCCAGGAATTGGACCCACTGCCCGATTCACACCACATCCTCCCCAATCTGGCTCAAAAATCCATCCAGATTCTTGATATGGACATGGAGGCGGGAAGTCATCAAGACTAGAAAAAGCCAAGGAGCTTATCATGAGTATTGAGTGAGCGCTTATATACCTCCTTCCATCAGTCCACACTTTCATCCATACAATCGTCATTGTGCTGCTATATCTGTACATTCAAAATGTTGATCTTGATTGCTTTCCAATTCCACTTCTTTTTGTTATTTTTCTATAGTCTTCATCCTTATCTCAAGTCATCTCAATACTTTTCAATCTTGACTTCTCTCAGTATCATTTGATCTTGACTTTTGAGATTGTTGGTGGCTCTGAACAAGTAAGTCATATGATTCCATGACTGTATTTGTATCACGTGTTCTTTCATTTTTGATCAATTGTCTTGAATCAATTTTTGGAAATTCTTTCTACTTCATTTTGGTTTTCTTCTTTTCTCAATCTCAACTCTTATTTTACTTCCTGGTCATTTATTTGGGAGCACTTTTATTTGTGTTGCAACCTTGGTTTATGTTTTATTTTTTGTTTTTTCCTGTTCAATCAATTTCATACATGTTGCAGAATGGTTGCTTGTGTTACATTGTGTGATCAGTGCCACATCACAATAATACAAATACTACTTTTTTTACTCATCACGTGCTGCAGAAGTAACTTGGTATTTTTTTTCTGTCAGCAACACAGTGTAAAAATGACTTGTAGTGTGGTGTTGCATTGCTGACCCATGGTTGCTTAAGATTATGTGTCTAAGTTATGTATTGTGATATATGTCTGTAATCAACACAGTATGCTTGTAATGATGAGTACATCATTACATAATCTATGGATCAAGTGTACAGCTGTTCTCATAAAGTTTGCTTCTTTGATTTTTTTTTCAGCCATTGAGAGTGGTTGGGTTTGGGTTACACCTGCAAATTGGTCATATCTGTCTCTCTCAGTTGAGCTCTACACTTTCCAAGTGAATATATGTTTGTAAACAACATGATATGATTGTAATGGTGAGTACATCATTACATATTCTATGGATCCAGTGTACTACTACAACTGTTCTCATAAAGGTTGCTTCTTTTTTTCCTGCCATTGAGAGCAATTGATTCAGGGTTACACCTGTAAATTGGTCATGTCCCTCTCTCTCAATTATAAAGATATTTAGTTTTTCCTCTTCTAGCTATGACATCATAATCAATTATCTTATGATGTTGTCTCTTTTTGCTTCCTTTGTCATTCCATTCCTTGTACCAAGGATATACAAGATTCTACTCATATAAGAATGAATGTTCCTTTAGTTATGTTTTCTTTTTCTTCATCCATTCTTATCTATTGTTTTCTCGTACCATCAGGTACTTTCTCTTTACTTGACTTGTGTTCCTCATATGTTGCTGAGAACACTTTGTGCTTCATGAAGGTTTGTCTATTATACTGATGTTCTTACTAAGTAATCCATTCTTATCTATTGTTTTCTTGTACCATCAGGTACTTTCTCTCTACTTGACTTGTGTTCCTCATACGTTGCTGAGAACACTTAGTGCTTCATAAAGGTACTTTCTCTTTACTTCACTCGTGTTCCTCATACGTTGCTGAGAACACTTTGTGCTTCATAAAGCTCTCATCATTATATCAATCGAGCTCTGCACTTTCCAATTTATTTTTGATCACCTCCAAGCTGAGCTTTGTTTCAAGTTTGTGGACATGAAGCTCAATAATTTGGAAGACATGATGGCTCAACAAAGGGACAGGAGCAAGAAGTACTAGTTGTGTAGTATTAGTAATAGATATTGCAACATGAGGATCAAAAGGTACAACAAGCTTCAGAGCTCTAGCTACTATATAAAGTGTATATATTACCGTAATAGCATATGCTTATAGATGGCTCATTACAGAAGATTCCTTGTGACAATAGGGGTTGGGCAAAATTTTGACCAACCAGTTTTACGCCTTTGCGAAGTGAGTAGAAAACAGTGGAAGATGGCCGGAAAACCTGTGTGAAGGTTTCAACTGTCAGACCCGAGGTCAGTGTTGGGGCCCGATGTTTCTCCTCCAGCCCTGCCAATTGCTCAGCACACTCCGACCTGCTTTGCTTCTCAGTCTGGTCACTGGTGCAATCAATCTGTTTTTGCAATAGAGCGTAAAACACCCACTCATGTCAGTATTTTGAATGCTACCCAAGCATATGAACAAAGAAGCTGATATTTTTCATTTTTCAAGACAGACCTTCTCAAAAACTTACCGGGATTTTTTTTGGCAAAAGATCATAGGTGAAAAATCACTCGTGTTGGGGCTAAATCACAAAACAGATTTGGGCTCAGCACCAAGAGCCAGGTTAGCTTTTGCACCTTTCACAGAAGGGGCAGGGGACCTGTAAAAGGTGAAAAGGGGGTGTTTGTGTGGCTTGTAGCGGCACAAATTGCTCTTCCCTGTAAGACTTTTGAATGGATAAAGCTTTGGTGGGATCTAGGAGAACTTCATACCGGTGTGTATTTTTGCAAAGCAAAAAGAGGGACAGAAATGTTGTTGGATTATGAGTGGCTTTGATATTGTTTTTGAGCCATCTCAAAAAGGATTCCTAGAATTTTGAACTACAAGTCAATTGTGTTTGGAAACCAGTTGGTCAAAATTTTGCCCAACCCCTAATATACTTGACAGGATCAAATAGGACCATGGCTTAAAGGTCTCTTTCAAGTCCTAGTTATGTTGGCTATTGTTGTCTCAAACTCATCCATAACCTCTACAATGACTCTTTTGTTTAAGATGAGGTCATTTCAATTTGCTTCAATTTCTAGACCCAAATCAGAAAATGACCAATGACTTTGATCTTTGGATCTATTGTAGAGGCTGACAGGTGATTTTCTTCTGAGGCACTCTTGCAATCACTTTGAACAATGTACAAGGTGTGATCTTCTCATCTCTTTTACACACAAGGAATGAAGTGGATCCCTTGATGTCCTCCTTAATCATGTTGTGTCCTTTTTGCATTGGCACATAGATTGCTTCTTAGTAAATTATTAAATTGAACTGGAATTATATCATGGGATGAATGAGAATAGGATGAGCCGTTATCATTTAAGCATGCCTTCTCAGATCTCTTGAGGCTCTTCTAAGCCACACAACCTGGTTGCAAGTATTTCATTTGAATCCAATGTAATCAATGCATGGTCTATGAGCTCTTCAAGATGGCCATAAGCACCATGAAAACATGAATTCTTGCTGTGGAAATTAGATATTGGGGAGGGAAAAAAGGAAAAGTAGAAAGTTCCAATGATCTATTGTTGAGCTGTTGTAAGATTGGTCTCAATATCATCAGTTCATAGATGCCAAAGTTTGAACTTGAATAACCTTAATAGGAAGAAGAGTGACATAAATATGGACTGTTAATTTCTCTCCCCTTGGATGTAAACAACCTGAAAAATTCTCAATCTTCTCCCACTGCCTTACCAACTAGATCTGTTCCCATTGATATTCATAGTCTTTTGATGGGTTCCATTGCTGATGAAGATGATAAGCTTGAACATCTACCAGGATGTGTAGGTGATCTGGTATTATTGAGCCACATCAGGCATCTGAATGGGAAGCCCAAACTATTTGTTGTTGCTGATCATGGTGACCTGGAAAGTTACACTGCATGAGGGTGATTGAATGACAAACTTCCAATTGACCTTGACCATTGACTTGATGATCTGACAATAAACAACAACTTCAATTCAATGATTGACCTATATATCTCCACACAAGCTGCTCAAATTGTGATGAACATGGGTACAAATCCAATGGCTTTGTTTTTGGTTAATGATTACAATGGTAATGAAAATCACAAACATATTGTATGTGATAAAAGGTTTTCCGGAGTTTGTGCTTGATGGTGTGAAGTATATTGCCACAAGGAGTTTTCCTTGTTATCAAGCTGCAGGGCCACGGAGTAGGAAGAAATCTCATTTTTGAGGTGATTGAAGACAAGCTGATGCTGTAGAAAGTCCAAAGTGGAGAGCTTGATTGAGATTTCCAGAGAGCAGCACATGACCAAATTACAGGTGTAACCCTAACTCAACCGCTCACAATGGCAAAAAAAATCAAAAAAGCAACCTTTATGAGGACAGCTGTATCTTGTCTTTGAAATCTCCGCGAGCAGATCCTAGCAGCTGGAGGGTAAATTGCTTGAAAATATCACACTCAATGAACCCGGGACTAGTTTCCCAACAATCCTTTGGGACCAACAACCTCAATATTCCTTGACAGCTCTGAGCCACTCTTGTTGGAGTTGACTTGGTTGTTTCCCTATTACTTTTCCCTCAGATGGCAGTACCACTGAAATCTTTGCACATGTTGTGGCAACATCTCCCTCTCCCTCTCACTCTGTAAAAGGAGAGAAGAACAAGTCCGGGACCATAGGTGTCAGGCTAATTGGGAGACCCGCAGAGTTGGATGGCGGATGGTTTCCATATATTTCAACACCGTTGAGCTCACAGCCGAAAAAGATAGGAGGGCCCTCACCAATTACAACCACGAATAGACATCAAAGCTACTACGCTGGCAATGTATACGGGCACACTGGGGGCACTGGCACTAGGGGCGACTTTTGAACCCTCGCGAGTCGTAACAAGGAAGGTTGGCAATCATGTGGGGGAAATCAGGAGGCGCTGCACGATATGGATTGACTCTCAAATGTTGCAAGGTAGATAGAGGTAGGCGTTATGGACAACGTGAGGAGAAGTAGGTACAGTGAGCGAAGCAGGGCGAAATAGAAATAGTGGGCACATCCGCCTTGGTCGGGAATCTGCGAAATTGTAGGCTAACAGGAGAAAGGAATCATGTGATGTCAGCATAAGTCGCAGCGTTGAAAGCGATATAGGAATCAGAAATGATGAGTGGGTTCAGAGGACATGGGTTAGCATGTGATCAATAGTTTCTCCGCATGTATTGCCGATCAAAGCAAATCGGTAGAACGAAGGTATATTGGTTGTCATCACAGAAATGAAACAAGGCAGGGAAGGTGAAAATACATACCTCATGGCATGTCGAAGTCGAACCCGACGATGGGGTGAGCACCTTCAGGATTGATGAATGAGGCTCGGTGAGGGCAGGGAGTGTAGCTATAAGTCGAGGTAGTTTTGTGTCTCTCACTAAAATAGAGTGCATCACGGCTAGCTGTATCGGATGAAAATGTTAGGTTTCGTTAGGTTACACTTTGGGGTCGGCCAAATTCCTCCACCATAACCATACCTCACCCTACCAACTTTCGATTCTCTATCGCCCCCCTCAAGACCGACCAACATCTTCACGAAACGATGGGTGCCTACAAGTACATCGAGGAGCTTCAAAAGAAGAAACAGTCGGATGTCCTCCGATTCCTTCTCCGTGTGAGATGTTGGGAGTATCGACAACTCAACGTTATCCACCGTGCTTCCCGTCCATCACGTCCCGACAAAGCACGCCGACTGGGTTACAAGGTTGGTCTCTTGCTTGGCTTCATCAAATTCACTCAGCATCTTGACCATCAAGTTTTACTAGGCTAAACAAGGATATGTCATCTACCGAGTCCGTGTCCGCCGAGGAAACCGCAAGAAACCCGTGAAGAAGGGTGCAACCTTCGGTAAACCCGTTCGACAGGGTGTCAACCACCTCAAATTCCAAAGATCTCTTCGTTCAACAGCTGAAGAACGAGTGGCTCGCCGATGTGGCAACTTGAGGGTATTGAACTCTTACTGGATCAACCAGGACGGAGTCTACAAGTATTTCGAGGTACGTTCCATCAGCAATACCTTGACACGACCGAGAGCTCATGGGTTATGGTTGCAGGTTATCCTCGTTGACCCTTCGCACAAGGTTGTAAGACGTGACCCCCGCATGAACTGGATCTGCGACCCTGTTCACAAACGTCGTGAAAGTCGTGGTCTTACCGGAGCTGGAAAGAAGGTGTGTGACGGCTGTCCTACTCGGGCCAATGACCCCAAACTGACCTATTTCCTCCATAGAACCGTGGTCTTGGAAAGGGACACCGTCACAATCACCAACCGAAGAATGCTGTCTGGAGGCGGAACAACACGTGGGTTCTCTCATCTGTCCTGTATTCCCAACTCGTCATTGACTGTTCATCTTGCTTTGCCACAGTCTGTCTCTCCGTCGATACAGATAGGTCTCATCATTCCAAGTCTTCAAAATATGCGTGGTTCTCTTATAGTCTTGTTTCCTATGCAATCTATCCTTGTCCAAGAAACATGGCCCCCAAAGTTTGCCATCCTACCATCATATGCCGTATCATCGAGCAATGTGGATGTTCCACCGTAATGATTTTGTGTAGTATTATTGAAGGATGCATTCCAATGTGACGCCTCAAGGCCCAAGTTCTCGAACGTCACAAGCACGCGAAGCTGACCTACATGCCAGCCGAACCTACTGAGCTTTTGAACAAGTCATCACAACCTTCCAAATCACTTCATTCCTGATCCAGACGTTTGTCATGACACCGTTTTAAAGCTAACTCGTGCCATTCTCACCCACTACGATGTGATGCGAGTTGTTTGCGACAAGTATGGGCGTTAAAAACCTTCCCGCTGATGCCATGTCTCAATGTAAGACATCGAAATGATTGTATACATAGTAGGTAAACTCCGACTGACTTGAGATAAGAGGCGACTGCAACAATGCCACTGAATTACTTGAAGCCGTGTGAGCTTAAACTACAGGCTTTTGTAGCCAGACTCTAGGAGCATATCTCGACCATTAAGAAGGTAGCTTCGCACCCGAGTGGCACAAAAAATGAAACTCGTGTCAGTCGAAATGCAAAAATATTTTTGGGTCCAAGTGCCCTGATGTCAAAGCCAAGTAGAGTTTGACTTGAAATATTCCAACTGGGATACTCCAACAGGATGGCTATGTACCAGGATTAAGAACTATACTAAAGAAATCACACTTGAAGGTGCTGACAGGCCATCCAGAAGACAAGATAGGCAGCTACACAAATTTAGCAATTTGCATTTGAGTAGGCTGCAGGGTCAAAAGTTGTGAAGGTTTTTCAGTTTGTGTTGTGCAAGAAGTTGAGTTGGCTTTGGTAGAGAGATTAAGGAATCAGATGCTTTTTACAGCCTCCATTTGACATCAAATACAATCTGTTTTATAGGTACTCAAAGTACTCAAAACTTCTGGTACTGACAGGGAGCGTAACAGTATCAGTCTTATCCTGAGACTCACTCGCTCTGAGACTCTCTCTGAGACTCTCAGGGCTACAGAAAATAGTGGCTTTCTGTACACTCGTCGTACAGTGTGGTCAAGAATGGTGGCACTCCATAGTTCATTATTGATTCGTTTCTCAACTCTTGTTATATTTCTTACATGGTCACTAATTTCACTTATGGCATTCTGAAATAAGAATCAATCATATTCAACCTAAAAATCTTGCCATTTCCTCATCTGACATGAATCTGACCATGATCGATTGGTTCAATTTTTACTCGGCCACATGATCAATGTAAGAATTGATAATAAGAAGATGAATCGAAATACGAAGTTTTTGTCATTTTCATGTTCAATGTGATCAGACTCAGAGCGACTTCAAGATGAACTTCAATAATCTGTTCCTCAGCCTTTCCATCATATGTTGTTAAGCTCAGCTTCTAATCTCAGAATCGAAAAAGAACCAACTTGGCATCTCCCTCTTATTGGCCAATGAAGCTAATTCAAACTTCTCCTTCTCTTATAAGTTTTCACAATCAAATTCGACCGTTTGAATACCTGGCTCATCTTCTATCGTTTTTACTCTTGAAATGATATTTTCGAAGCTCTCGATCCTCGTAATGCCTCTCAACCTTTATGTTAATGTGGCTAACAGCGCGGTAAATTTTTCAAAGCTCGACTTTCAAACCGAATTACAAAGATGTCTTGAATAGTTTTCTTTCATCATTCAGAATTAGACTGTTATTTTCTTTTGGAGCGATTAATTGTTTCAATCTTCTTTATATCGTCTCTTTTGCTTCACTTTTGCCTACTTTTCACAGAGCTTATGTGACTTCCCAATCCTCATTCTTACCCAACCACTTGATTCGATGTTTTAAACAAATTATTGTAGGTTCCTTTTTGCCTTTGATTCCTTCAATTTGATCCTATTTCCTTCCAATCCATCAATCGTATACCTTTGTAGGACCCGGAATTTCAGAGAATAACAAAACACGCCACTTGAGAAGAAATTGTACTATCCCTGTATATGCCAGGTATTGTCTCAGGGAGTCTCAGTGAAAGACTGATACCGCAACTCTCCTTACTGACAAGAACATGATGGAAAGCCCACAAAAGATAGGCTTTCACACAAACAACACAGCAGAAAGAAATTGTACATTCAAGACTTGACAACTCACTGTATTGAACATGGAGAACAACTCGAATTATCATGTTGATATTGTTTTCGAAATTTTGTTAGAGCCTTGCGGGCAGTCTGTTGCTGCCTGTGGGACTGGGCGTGTTTAGCAAAGTATTCAAGAAATCTAGCGAGAACAGGGTCTTTATGGGTGGAATCATCTCCATCTACTTTGAGAAACTGCTCCATGATAGAGCTTGTCTCCTCTGAATTTTTTGTTACTAAAATTCCTATCACACTTGCTAGGGAAGGTGTCTCTCCATACTTGTTCATCTTCAGGAATACATGTACAACTACAAATATTTATGATACAAGTTAACTGATCAAGTCTTGAAGCTATCATGTAAACAGATGTCTTACATTGCGACCAGAACTTAAGGATGTCTATGATGTCCTTGGGGGTCAAACTTTGATCAAGTTGCAAACCATAAGGATGAATTTTGACTTTGGACTGAAAGAAGGGCATATAATCACTGTGTTATACTAAATGTCAGCAAGAAAGGCATACAACTTGATACAATGCCAATATTTTTCAAGGGACTTACTTGTCCTCAAGTGAGTTGTGACAGTCCAAAATAATGTCTGAGTAGGTTGTCAGTTTTGAAAGAGCGGACTCCACCCGGGCAGCTCGCAATGAGCGCAAACCAAGTGGTGCACTTTGAATACGTCTGATCAATCTGGTTTGGACAATTTGAGCTTCAATCCACAATTGCAATTTGGGATTTCTTTTAAATGTTGGGTAATGAGATTGGTCTGTGTTTAATGGATTACATTCAGTAATTATGACATCGTTGATTGAAACAGAACCCTATGGCTCACTCAAAATCCAAAAGGCAAAAAGAGCTTTCTGATCTTTTAGAGACCAATCCCCAACGAGACTTAAACCATCAGCTCCCATATCTGTCTGTGTGTCTACAAAGTCCAGAAGCTCCCTGGATTGTTTTCGGAAAATGATGATATATACGGTCAGACCTTAACATCCCTGAAATTCAAGCCAGCATGCCTTATCAACTCACTCTCCAGGCTTGCAAGAATCAATATGATCAATCATTTTGTTACCGTAGGCTTTTAAAGTTAGTCTTGCCTCGTCCTTCCAGGCAAGAAAAAATTCATTTCCGTCATGTCTCATACACGACACTCCCTGCAAGTGTCTCCAAACCATTTGCACTGTGTTGAAGGGAATGTCATAGAACCTCAGAAGCTGTCGGAGAATCTGGAAAAATATGATCTGTGTGGGTAGATCGCCTTCTGTGACCTCGAGAATTTCAATCAGCTTCTCTGCCCATAAGCTGTGTTCTAATTGCAGAATTCCGGCGATGGTCACAGGAAGGTGTTTGTCGTAACGCTCTCCATCAAAGCCCCGATAATCGTTAATGTGCACTGAGATAGTTTGGTTATTCAACTGGCCATCAAAATATTCCCGAGGTCCAACGAAAAGAAAACTCACAATTTTCCTCGAAACTTTTGGCTATCTCTGACTTCAATCTATTTGTTGCATTAGTCTTGTAGGGGGATCCTTCTCCAACGGATATCTCAGATATCTCAGTCCACGGATCAACTTCATCTACAGATACAGATGATATGTCAGTGAGATGATTTGAGTACAACAGGAAAACAGAAGTGCTTCAAGCTTACCATTGTGGCCATATTCTTGCATAAGTTGCCTTAGGCTTGGCCTTGATGATCTTGCTATATTTGGAGCCAGTGGCTCTTCTTCAATGCTTTGTAGTGCCATACTATAGACCCTATAAATGTGAACTCCTGATTGGGATAACAAATATATCAAGGTATACATAGATACGAGCTTCATTTTGAAAACACCACAAATGCAGTGATTCTGTTAAAAGGTTTTGTAGTGAAGGGAGTTGAGGGTTTACTAGTCAGAATAGACTTTAAAGTTCTACTTTTCGAGGAACCATCCATCATTTGAATACATACTAGAAAAATACCCATACAATTATTCATGCAAGAGACACTGAAACTCGTCATCCAACTCTTCATCAAGATATTTAAGGACTGATTTACAAGAAGGTTTGAAACATATGTGGAGATTTTTGTAAAAGTTACCATAGGTACACAACTGGACACATAACACAGATTCATAATGCGATCTCTCCTCGTCTTACTCATATAAGTGCTTTGAGCTCGCAGCTTGCATTTGAGGTGAAAGACCTAGAAAGCATCTGTGAGACCCGATAAGAGCAGCAAAGGTCTAAAAGAAGATTTCGAAGGAATTGTATAAACAATATAAACCCTATTAGAAAGTCTGAGATATAGGTTACCACCTCGCAAATCCCGAGAACAACACCTTCACGTTTGATACATTGCACTTGCCAGTGTGATATGTTCTGCTTTGACGGTTTTACACTCCAAGATCTTGAGTGATACTTCTAGTGTCCGGAGGAAGCAATGGAAAATGTTTTCAATTTTGATGGTAATCATCAGGAGCTGATCACTTTAGAGTTCAAGAGTTATGAAGCTACAGTATTGTTTTAGACGAGGTCATTGTGAAGTTTCAGGACACGCAGTGATATGCTGAGCAATTGATCAGTCGAGCCTGAGGGTAACAGTTTGGTGAATTTGTTTGATGGCGAACTTGAACTATCCATCAATCGAAACTTGACTCTGCTAGGAGAAGTTTATTGCACTTGTGATGTCACAAATATTACAGATCCACGCACATTCAAGTGCTTAACATGGTCATAATCTCATTGGACTGTGGTGTATCACATCGAAATGGGATCGAATCCTACGTGTCAATCGTGGTGATTTAAAGTACATAGGCTCTTGGAAAGTTCAATACGGCGAATCAAATGAGCTAGATTCAGTGGAATGTGTCTGTGAAAGATTGGACTTGTTTAACAGCCACTTGATGGCAAGAAAGCCTGAAAGAAACTCTCACAAGTTTGTCCCCTGTGGGATGTGGGTTCAGGTACTCCAAGTCGTGAGACTGTCAGTGCAAGCTCGCCTCTGACCAGGAAACGCAAAAAGGGGCGTGCCAATCAATAAGATGAGAATGCCTGAGCGTGCAGGAAAGGTTTTCAAAATCCAAGAACATGCAAAGCACAAGTCCCCTCGATTTTGTCTGGTTTTCATCGTGTTATCCTCAAGAAATTGTTCGCGCTGAACCTATTGAGCCATGTCGCTATCTAAGGTCATCGAACCTGACTCGCAACCTCTGAGTTGGACCTTCTCTAATTAACTTCGAGCCTTAAGATATTGCCAATTTGAAGTCTGAATGGGATCGCAAAGTACGTCCCAGATTTGATGCGAACTACGTGTGCAAGCCTCATACATTTTTTTATGATGTGGTATATAAAGGGCTCCAAGTTGACAATCAACGTGCACACTGCAGTTAGAGTTTTCGCTTGCTATTATTGCGTCAAATGTTCAACTGGAACCTCTCTATCAGGCATAAACTCTTGCCTGGTTCAAGCCCAACGCTAGGCCTGGCTCGTGTTACAGGCGGTTGAGAATAACGGTCATGAAGCCTCGTACTTGTCCGCGACCTGTGGTTATCAATCTACGCTTTTTGGCAGCCCGTCAACTAATCCGGATCCTGCCCTTTGCCCTTGATTTCACCTGCACAACAAGCGGTGATCCCCCATCCATGGAAGTCGCTTTTTCCTTGTCACAAGCACACAATATTTCCCTACGCAAATTATCTTAATCCCGTCCTCCATCGGGAAAGCACTTTGTACTTTCATTCCACACTCCTTCGTCTGATCAGTACCAGCGCACGTATTCCCCTCTTTATTACGAGCACTTTTCGCTATCCCCTCAGTACCAGAAATCGATTCCGTGGGTCTCGAATCTCGAACAATCATTTCAATCATTTTCACACCTTGACTGTGACGCCAACTAGGAGGCAACCACAGCCCAATTCTGTAACTCCTCGCCACTCTCGCTTCTTCGGATATTTTTTTGGCGGTCATCTTTCTCTTGCACTCAACATGTTGAAAGCTTCCAAATACGGCCTTTTGGCTTCGCCTTTTTTCATCTTCACGGCTGCAAGCGGTTCTTTTCAACCAGAACATCTTGCCGAGAAATGGAATAGCGCTTCTGTTCAAACTGCAACAGAAGGCCACCTCAATTCACTGGAAACCCCGCCGAACCTCAAAAGTGACGTCCTTGAAGTTGTGGTCCCTGGCACACTGCTTACAACGTCACGTTTGCTAACTGAACGGATCGCCATAGACAGTTTTCACTCTCGAGCTCAATCCGAACCTCGTCTTTCCCTGCGCACCAAAAGAACTACCAATCAGCGTTCGAAGAACGTCACAAACCTGGCCCGTCGCGCCTCTGGCGCACCACACGTTGCACATTCAGCATTGTCTACCTCAACAGCTGACTCTCAAGATACTCCCGATGCCGATAACGACAACGATTCAGACACAAACACCAACTCGAGCCCTCGAGTCACCACTAGTGCCTCTGGTCCAACACCAACACCGATGGGCTCTTCCCGCTCGTCAAATTCTACTTCGTCTTCTCAAGCGACACGTTCGCGAGGAACACCCACCTCATCTGCTAGCTTGGCTTCCCACGCTACTGCAACTTCCGCCGCCTCCCCCTCCGCCAGTCCATCTGCTCCGCAAACTGCACCTACTTTTGGAGACTTATTTTCACACCTCAATTCATACTTCCAGCCGTCGAATGGTGCTTTCCCATTGGCCATCATGATCACAGTCGCCGCAGGTAAGGTTATTTCCTTTAGTCACTCCACTTTTCGAAGTTGAATTACCACACTCACATATCTGCACACTTCTTCAAAATAGCCATCTTACTTTTGCTGGTCATCATCTCGGTGGCTAAATGTATATGTCACAGACCCAAGTTTGCCAACGCAAAGGACTATCCACAAGGTTTTCCATGGGAGTCCAACAATCCAAACCGTCCGTCGGACGTCAAGCACAAGCGCACACCTTCAAGCCCCTTCTCCAAATCTGCTGAAGGAAACTGGAGCAAGATGGATAATGAAAAGTCTTTACAAACAAATCATGAATTAAACAGTTGGCAGCCTGATCCCTCATTATCACACTCATCGCACGTACAAGTAGCCCCTTCTCCACTTCAACTCAGGTCAGAGGGTACGCCAACGGCAAATCTTCGCTTCAGCAGGCGGTCTGGCCCAGCCCTTCCACCGCTCGTCATCTCACACCACAGTGAAACCGCCAATGTTCAACGTACCTCACCCGCTCCCTTCTCCGTTACATTCGAACCTCAAGAGGGGTGGACGCAAAACCCGCCTGTTTTGCATAGTCCAGCCCGTAGCTCCGGTTTTGTTTTTCCAGCCCAACCTTCACCTACTTCATACGACCCACTGAGAGCTCAATCACCTTATCATGAACATCAAAGTTCGGGACATTCAGATTACCACGATCGAGCTCCTTCACCAAATCAACATGCGTCTGGTCACATCAAGACTTCCGCAACTGTAACAGCGCCCCGGTACCCCGGTTGGGTTGGAGTTTAGATTGATCTAACAGAAATGTACCAGTGCGCGCCTTTCAGCGTTGCTGCCTTTTAAAACGCAATTGGATCCTGCTGGTCAATCAATCTCACATGGTCAGAAATCATCCGAATTTTCTCGGTCCTTCGGCAATTCTATTAGATTGGAAACATTATTTACAAACGTTAAATCAAGTCGAGTCATCCGTTACAATGTCCAATAGCGGACATGCAATCACAGGCATGTTGCTCAAAACATAACAATGTCTCTCATCACTCTCATTGACTTTAGATACCATGGCGTGCCATTGAATTGTTACTTGGTAATCAGATATACTATAAATGTGTATTTTGTCGAGCATGTTTGTTATACTTGTAGTTTCATCAGGGAAGTTCCTATTCTTATTTTCTTCGTATATATATATAATATTCTGCACGCAGCAAGCGGATTCCACGTTCGTTCCATTCCACGTTCGTTCCTTTCATCACCATGAGTATGAGTAAATGAAGCTTCAATTCGTCAAACTGCAGATAACAATGCCTCCTCCCCTTGAGACTTGAATTGCCTATCCTATATGTTTATATAAGAAAGTGTCCCGACGAGTCGCAAGCCAATCAATCATCTAAGTAGTCCTGGCGAGCCAAACATCGAGTATTCTGATTACTGAGATTGGAGAGTACCCTTATCTATCCGTCTCAGTACCTTTGTTTGTGCCTGGATTATTGGTACGAAACCACTGCAAGCACATGGAATTGAACACAGTAGTGCCTCCTTGCGTTGTGAGCTCTTCAGGTGGGTAATTTGACACGATCTCATTGTTTTCTACGGCAATACGGAAATTAGCAGTATCAGTGTTTTCTGAAAGAGTTGATCGCGCTTATTTGTTCAAGAATGGGTAAAAACCTAATATATCTGATATAGACGTGAAAGACGAGTCTTTCTTTCCTCGATTTGCCAGGTCAAGATAATTGGTAAGTTCGTTCCCGAATAAGACCAAATTTCCTAGTCTTCCTGGATGTTTTGAACCGTGATTTGCCTGCAGAAGCGCAGCATACAAGCTCAAAGGACCATGTGGAATGTAGAAGAATGTATGTTCATCACACATTAAGTCTTGTTCCTAACGTGATCCCGCCATTGATAGCGATAGGAATGGTCTATCAGCTGCCATCAACGGCTCGAGTAGGTAAAATTGGACGTGTATGGACCAAACATACCTTGTCATGGACATCATGACCTAGCCCCCTCAGATACGCTTTGTCACTCTGTCTGAATGCAGGGTCGTAGAAAGAGACTTGGATCTCTATATCGTGTCGAGCCCCCTTTGGACCACTAGGGGAGGGACTTTCGCCGACTGATTGAGCGGCGACATTGTGAGCCTAAGAAAAAAAGCCTCTCAGCTGAGCAATTGGAGTGATTGCAAGAATCCTAAACTGACTTTCAAGGTAGGTAGAATAACATCAAGAAAGAATATCAGTTGGTATTGGCTGCCTCGCAACATGTTAGACGGAATTGTTGCTGCCTGCTTGTCAGATGTTGCGTTCTCGCTCAAGTGTTCCAAGTTATCGGGTGAGAATGGGCCAAGTGCCAAGCATCGCACACGTAGTATCCGTGAAGGAGCGTGAGACTGCGTAAGCGATTTTTTCAGCCAAGCTACCATTGATTTGTTGCTATCAGTTTATCACCCCTTGGACAGTCAATTTGGATTCGGCCTCTAAACACCCACTGGACAGAGGTTCTAGCCATAGATCTTTTTTAATCGTGCCTCTTTTTTCTTGCAGCATTTCAGACGTGGACTTTGGAGACTTGATGTTTGCGTTGAGCTTGTATGCGCGTCCTTTGTGCCGATTTGTTGACTTTTTTGCAGACCGCTCGACATAGGTGAACTCAGCACTCGACCTCGCACATAGTACATTTGGCGTACTCGGGAAGCATGAATCACTTTCAACCTGGCGATTCGGAAGCCGATCGTCTTCAAGTCGGCCTTTATCTGGTTCGCCATAGGCGCAAACTGGTTTACCACGCCGACCTTTATTCTTTTTCGAACGTGTGGGGACATATATAAACGGAGACTCCTGGTACAATTTCTGAGCTTCAGGGTTATCCTCGGTTACGGCATCTTGGCCTGATTGACGTTGCTTTGGATTGTTTAAAGTGTTGGCTGAGCAGTCAGACATATAGAAAAAGATTCACCGAAGAAACATTCTAAAATCCAAAATTGTTTTCACAAGCCGACCCAAGATGTAGACCTATACAAAGCCATACCCATACGCAGATCGATACATATGTATCATCGTTATGTGTAACTGTTATGTATAAGATTATGTGGACTGTGGACAAGATCTCTTGGATCAGCAAGAAAGAGGCAATGATATCAAAGAGCGAGCTATACGCCCCTAAGAAAATTCACACGGCTAGGGAGTAAAAAATTGTGCGATGGATGTGTTTCTGCTTTTCTGGGAACCATTTGAATTTGTCCCCAGAGTTGTGCAAAGCTTGAATGAGCTACCGTGAAGGTTATTCATCCTTTTTGTCCACTTTTGAAGATAATGCCTCTGTGCTATCATCAACTGGATTTTTTGCGCACTTTTGTTGGTTCTCATTAATTCTACATTGGAATTCTCTATGACATAAATCCTCAAGATAACGAGGAAGGGAATAAAGGATAGATTTACAATGGAATCAGACAAATGCAGTCAGAAAGCTTTTCTCTGAAATATATACATTAATAGAGAAATTTAATGAGGTATTGATGTCCCTTTCTATCTTCCATATGTTTATGATCAATTTCTATGTTTGCGTGGATCCCAGATAATGTCAAGGGTCTCTCGGTCGGAATTCATATAACGCATCATCAGTACTTCCGGAACCGGCTTCTGAGTGAACCTCTTGCTAGGACTATAAGCAGGGAGAAATTGAGCATCCGCGATGAAGTATGTATTCTTCTGAAGTCCTTCAACGAGTTTGGGACGAATTGGCGAAGTCAAGTTTGCTGAATCAAATGTTTCCTCCTAGTCAAAGATTGAAAGTGATGCATGAGAAACTTGGTATCTTCCAATGTTACATAGGCCACTGAGACTCACCACCGATCTCAACATATTCGTATCCATCACCCCCGCGGCATATTTGGTGATGCTGAAGCCAAGACAGATCACAAGTGATTCTCCAGTTGGGTTCTCGTCACTGTCAACGCCCCAGACGAATCTACGACCCCAGTTTGCCGAGCCGATTGCCCGAGAGATGAGGCCAATCAACTTAACAGTTTCAACTTCGTCGTTCAGAACATGATGATGAGATTTTGGGAAGAACTGAAATGAAGTGCGGAAATTATAAAGGCTTAGAAATTCCCATCCAGCTTGAAATATACCATGTGCATCGCCCTTCACTTCCAATGTGTGTAAGTTGGGCATCACAGAGATGAAGTCCTTCAAAGAGTTAGCTTTCAGTGCACGTGCTGCACACCAAGATATGATAGTGGGACCTGATATGAATTGGTTTGTACCAGAACAAGCCAATTTATCTATGTGAGCACAAGTTTGACATGGAAAAGAGATAGGAGAAAGAAGATATACCTCCTGAGAACTCAGAAAACTCTTCGTCACATGCTTCCCATTGTCCAGGCAAGTTCATCATGCGCATCAATTCACGTGAGATAAATATACCAGAACCGCTAGATACTCCATTCTCTTCTGGTTGGGTATGGCTCAACGTCTTGTTCATAGAGCTGATAAGATAAGGGAAACTCTTGGGATCTTGAAAACGTGCCAAGATAAAAGAAATGCCATGTCGAGTCGATTTGGTGTCCAGGAAGTAAGTGTCGTCATCACACAACACATACCAATCTATCTCCTCGGTACCCGTACGATCTTTGGTCGTGTACCATAACCAGCGGATAAGAGCAAAGTAACGCCGTGCCTGATGAGAAGCGTGAACTACTTCCATTTCGATGTTCAATCCAGATTGCGAAATTTGTGAACGTGATTGTTCCTGTGTCTCCGGTGCATCTTCTGCCGATAAGAGAAGCAATGCTGAAGATCCCTTTCTTCGCTTCTTGATGTGATCGTCTTCCTTCATCCAATCTTTCCATAGTGGAAGTGCCTCGTCAATGCCAGCCGCTGAGGTGGCTAGGCCCCACATCAGTACTGGAGGTCTGAATGTTGTAGGGGTTCCATGAAACGGATCCAGTCCAAGGTCTTCCGGAAATGAGGCAGTGTCTATATCATACACCGAACACTTTGGAGAACTTTCACGCGACAGGATTACATTGAGTAAGCGTGGAAATGCTCCGACTGGAATTTGAGCCGATGATTTGTTGGCGAAAGGAAGAAAATTTTCGGCTTGTCTGAAAGGCATCTGGATTGTGCGCATTTCGGAATCCAAAAGAACGGCAGTCGGACGAAGGACGATAGTGGATGCTACGCCGCGATAGTCTTTGGGACAGAAGTCCTGTGCTGAAGGCATGAGAATTGTAGGTTTGAACACAGAGAAAGATTTTTGATAGGGAGAGACGGAGAGAATTTCGAAAACGGTGCATTCTCTATCTGAGCTCTAATCGGGAACAAATAATTCGCTTTACCAGCAGAGGAAGCTTCGCCGAGGTCATCATACGTAGCTTCTGCTGCGACAAAGGTTCAATCCGGATCAGTGTACGAGACGAACACGACAAGGGCGCTTTGTTGACTTACCAAGTGGGTCATACAATATCTCATTACTTGTTTCCGTGAATGTTAAAAACATATATACTCTGACAGCCCATACGAAGCCGGTAAAGAAGAGGAACGTGTTCTGTCGTCTAGAAGCTCGACCCATCTGAAACTTTGTCAACAGGCTCAATCCAGGACCAAAGTGGCGTGAGTATGCTTGAGTTTCGAGTGGAAAAGAATTGTTTTGGAAAGAGACAAAGTGTTTTCTGATGAGTAGTCACCTCAATCAGCCTCAATCTTGCCTCTAAGGTTCCAACACTCTGTGACTATGGCCCACATGCTGCGAGTACGTGTAAACCCGTCTAGTTGATCATGCGAGCAGTCAAAAAATTAGTGACTATAGATGTTAGAATTGTGTAACGAGGATAAATATGAGAGACGATCGGCCCGTCTGATGGACACGCCCCTCACAAGCCGAGATTGCAGAAAGAACACATAATGCGCTGCCCTCAAGGTTCATCTGACGGTATATGGAGGAGAGAGCTTGGAATGTACGCAGTATACTCATTCGAGTCACACATGGCGCCATCCTGACTGACAAGGTCCAGTGGTTCGCAGCATCATATTTGGACGACCGTCCATGAGCCAAATAAGTGTTGCGCGCGAACCCACCTCATTCGATATTTTGAGCACGATACAGCCAGTTGGCGCCGAGTCCAAACCAATTGATGGGACAAGGTGCATTGGCCCGAAGTTTCAAGCTTGGACAACCCCAAAAGACTAAAGGCGAGCTTACATATGAGACTATGTATCATGAGGATTTGGATCGCGCCAGATCGCGAGCCCCTTCGTCCACGAGATACCCCTTCGAATTGAGCTCTTCAGTGTTCGCCGATACCATGTCCAACCAGAAACCACAGTCAACGCCAGCCCTTGTCAGCCTTGTATGATTTAGAGTTCACCTGAGAAGATGCAGTCCCTCAACGACAGGCTAAGGTGCAGACCTTTTGGTTAAAAGAGTAGCTTGCTACGTGACTAAATTCAGAAGAGCAATTACGCGTATGTACAAATGTGCTTGCTAGCAGACACTACGATGTTTTTCTCTGGTACAGTCTTATCAATGAGAAGACACTGATCACCGTAGCGCAGAAGTTCCTATTTGAAAGCCGGAAGCGGAAGCTTCTCTAGGATAGAGCGAATAATTGATTGACACTCCAATCTTCAAAATGATACAGACTCGCAATGATTGGTATTTGGTGAAGACGATCAAGTGAATTGGAACACGGAAAACAACGATTTGAAAAGGGTATCACAACTGTAACTCGAAATCATGTGGTCAAGTCGAGTCTTGATGAGGCCTTGAGGACTGACTTGTCGACATAGGTTGACGTTCTTTCTTGAGACGGTAGTGATAAAGGTCCTCAATTGTGATCATCTTCAGACCCCATTGTCGAGCGAACACAGCACAATCATCTCTACGTGCCATGGAGCCCTGTGGGCAGTCAGGTTTGACCAGCTCGCATATGATACCTGCAGGCGGTAAACCAGAAAGCTTGCATAGATCTGAACACGGAGAATTGGCCATGCAATCAGCATTCTATCAAGGTTATTCTTGATATCGGACCTCCTTGCGCGGAGGGACAAGATGATAGTCGCAGCAATACTAACCAACTGCCGCTTCTGTGTGACCTCTTCGGGACAATACACCACCTTGATTTGCTCGCAAAGGTACCATATGACCTGGTCGGCTAAAATCTTCAGGTTTGTTGGTCTTATCGCTTAGCTTGAGTGCTGTGAGAGCTCTATCATGTGCTGAAATGCCGGTGGTGGTGCCTTTTTGAGCCATATCAAGCAGATGGCGATGGCTGGGTTACCACATGTCGATCATCTCGTGTCCTACTCTTTGGATGCTGGATTTGTGAAAAGTGGACACACCATGCTTGTAATCGACTGTATGTGTGTAAGCGGTCTTGTGGGGGTCGGTATTATTCTCAACCATCATTGGAATATTGAAGTTCTCCAAGATGTCTGCGGTGAGAGCTATGCAAACGTAGCCACTGTTGAGGATGCAGCGGACAAAGTCTGTCAGAAGAGATCTCAAGAGGCTAGAGTTTGAGGGAAGTTGAGACCGAAGTACACTTACCTGCTATGTCTTATGATCCAAGCCATCATCTCGGTGCTGATCTTAGCAGCAGAAACAATCAGGTCGCCTTCGTTTTCTCTATCCATGTCATCTAACACGATTAAACATTCACCGTTGCGGAAAGCGTCTAAAGCTTCATCAACCGTATTTAAGCTGATCGGACCATCCTGATTGGACGCATCGCCGTCTTGTTCTTGCGGAACAACACATGGCACTACTGTCCTCGGATTGTCGATCATTAGAGTCTTGATGTCTTGACCACAGAGCTTGAACGATGACACCGACAATAAAACTGAGTTGAGAGAAACGAACAAATGATATTTACAACAAACTCGGCTCTGACCAAAATGCCGTATACATACCCGGACCGTGTAAATACCCGACTGGCAGACGGGGTGCCACCACCACGGCAATGGATGTGCATTTAAAAAACGTGCATCCGATCGAGAATCGAGATTGTACACTTGTCTCAGCGATATCCTGCTCGTTTGTCTAATTTCCCATCACGACGGTCAGATTGCAATGTCGACTGAAGGAGATTAAACTCACCGCGATGCAAAGCGTGTGCTGATCAAGTCTGCCCCACTTGTTCACGCACTTTTGTCCTCATGAATCCTTTTTGATCCAGGGGCGACACATGTGCTTGGCGCGACGGATCACTTTTGGAGGTTTACTGCCAGCCACTCGAAGCAGCATAGACAGGTCCATCAAGGTTTTGTATCTCGAGCAACTACGGCGGGCAAGGACGCAGGAGGTTGCTCTTTCGGCTCTGTGATGGCCGTGATTGTTCCTACCAGACAAAAGCATTCTGATGACCTCGTACAAAACCCGCATCTCAATGAAGCCAGTTCATACTAGGTTCAAATGATGCGCACATTGGTGACTTCAATTTCATCTTGACCAGGTGTCACACAAGCAAGATGAGTCCTACCACCTTCTTCTGGCATCATGTCCGCGGCAAAGTGGACAACCAAAAGATTGCTGGCAAAGACACTGAGGTGCTGGGTGCACTCAGTCCTTTGAAGTGATTTGCATTTGAGTTTGAACACTTCCTGAAGGGTAAGCATAGCACAATCAGACATGATGCAGGGGGTCTTGGAATAAGTCTGAATAAACATTAGTCAATCCAAAGAGTCTCTCACCTAAATGCAGGAGGGGGCGGGATGGAATACTCTGGTTTGTGTGTGTGGATTTCCAGAGTCAGGTGAGGGAAGGAAACAATAGAATGGCTGGAAACATTGTATAAGTTATGAAGAGACTTATCACCAACTTTGTCTCAGATATCTCATGATTTTCCCTAATCAGTCTTTCTTCTGCCTTGAGTCAGGTTCATAGTGATGACTTTTAAGCACTCACTTCTCCTTCTGGTCTTTTTTGTCAGTTTTTCATTTCTAGCTTTGGCTTGCTGGCCAACTTATTGAGCCACAAACGTAACATCAGCAAATAACCATCTACATGCCACACATAGCTTAGATGGCCCAGCATGCAGTCCAAGAGATGTCACCTCACTGAACTTGATTGTTACTCATGAAGAAAGTCAAGTCAAAATTCAGACAGGGTATGGCTGCCCATACCTTTACCACACACACACAATATCAACTTTGAATACTTGTGTAGCAGCTCACCACTTCTTTGATAGCTACTTGACTTCACATGAGAATCTTAGATGCCTCATCACGTAGATACAAGGTTCCAGAACAGTTTGTGCCCCACCCATCTTCCACATTTGTTGAGCCTACCCAGGCCACCTTAGCACTCTGTTACAAGGCCTCTTTGTGTTCTCACTGTCACTTGCTGGGCCAATAATGAGACACTGTGTTTGACATCAAGTGGTCCATCCCTCATGTATCAAGACCACCACATCGGCTTGCAAACTATTCTTCCGCTCATAGCTGCCATTTTTGGCTTATGAGAAGGCACAGATCCATTTTGAATTGCTTCAGGAGATTTGTGTACCCTATGGGTTTGTGATGTATATGGTAAAGAGGAGCACACCAACATGTATGGCTCTCTTCTAGTATACTTTGATCATTGTTCCTCAGGACCACATGGTGCCTTTATTTTGAACTCAAACAGAATGGATGTATCAGTACTAGAATAAGACTCCCTTCAATATGACATCATTGGTTTGTAATCTTTGACACACACATCATAGAAATGCTGACATGGAGCATGATTAAAACCCGATAGCTACCTGACTTTGAATTTAGATATCTCTGATTTCAGGAGGTGTTCTGGATTTTTACTTCTTGTCTGCCCCCCAATAGAGGTTGCACAGCAGTATTCACAGATCATTGGCAGACCAGCCATGGTTCTGTACTGGTCACTTGAGTTTCAGCAGTGCTGATTTGGCTACAAGAGGTTTCTCATATATAAAACTTTGCTTATGTTCAATATACTGTAGAAAGCTGATAGAGTCCTCTCTTTGTTTGCTTTACTCTATCTCAAAGTAGCAGAGGTGATTGAAGATTAATGTAAGGCTTCAATTCTGCTAGAAACAATGTGCGTGAAATTTATAACTATTCACAGGATTTTGATGTTGATATTTGGAGATCCTTTTTTCAGGTGAACAGATATTGACTGCATGATTCACGGCAGGGCTTCACACTTGGCCCAGAAAATTTCCCTATCCAATGGATGAGGGAGATTTTTAACCAGCTTCATGTGCATAATCAGCGCAATGGTATGTGTGCTGATACCCTATCCACTTTTTTCACAGATCACTGATATGAATGTATTTCCAATAGTCATGGTCATAGACCCAGCTGTTGCCTATCAGCCAGGAGACAAGGACAAAATCAGATGTTTTCTCAAGGAAGCCAATGGGACCTATTATGAAGAAATGCTTTGGGCAGGTGAGATGACAGGCTTGCATTGTTTTCTTTTGAAATACATACATGTTTTGAAAAGAGGACAAATTGTAGGTGTGAGTGTATGCCCATATGGGTTTCAGACATGAATACAGTCATATTGGTTGGGAGAGTTCCAAAGATTCTTTGATCTAGAACATGGGATTGATATTGATGGTATCTTGCTTGACAGTAAGTTATTAGCACCTCACCTTGATCAATTTCCAATTGAGATTAGTAGCTCTCCAACTTGATATAGTGAAAATTTGTCATTTTTCAGTGAACAAGCCTGCTTTACCAGTTGCAAACTTTTGCACAGTATCCAAAACAGGTTTGCCCACATGCCCTTTGAAGAGAGAAACTTCAGCCTGAGAATCACAGTGTGGATGAGTGGGATTATTGTATTCATAATACTGCAGGCCAGCTCAACAACCATACAGTGTGTACTAATATGGTACACCTTGATGGCCTGTTGGATTATCTGGAAAAACTCACACAACTCCACACATCTCTTTCATAAAGGTTTTGTAACTTTTTCCCCTGTAAAGATACAATACCCACAACCTCTTTGGAACACTTATGACATCAATCACTTGCAAGGCAATGTTAGAAAAAAGACCAATTCTACTGCTCTGTGTCATCAGTTGCTCAACTTTTCCAGGCTTGGGAGCTCTTGGTACACCACAGGGTGACTTTGAACTGGCCCCACCTGAAACGAGGCATAGTGGCATCGTGTGGTGGGGCTATGAAATTATCAGATGTTTTTACGTGACAGGCACGTGAGGGAGGCCACGTGGTTCTCACCCAGGCCGTCACCTGGCCTTCACGTATCCAGCAAAATACACATTGTGCCGACGTGGCTTACTAGTTGATCAACAGGTGAGTCAATCTGTCTGAGGACAACCTGAAATCCAGGTGCTCAGCATCCAAACCAGCTTGGATGACCTGCATCCAAGCTCACATTGGGTGCTGAGAATGTGGCAATCCTGACTCATAAAGCAAAGTGAATAAAAACAGATTCTCACCAGAATAAGAAGAGAATTGGCCGAGCCATATTCAAAACAAGTGGCTCAACTCATCATGTATCTTTGTGCTGCATCTCATGTTACAAGACCACGTCTTTTGTTGTCTCTCCAGCTCCGAAGAATAGTTCATACTTCGAACAATTATGGATTTTTTATCTCTATTTAAAACACAATACATGCTAATCACGTTGAGAGTGTAAAAAATATGTTGTAAAATTCTATATCAACCCTAAAGACTATAGTTGGTTCGGTTGATTTACGTCAGATTTTCTTGGATAGAATCGGCCTCGATTTTTGATTTGAGTTCAGGATTCAACTTACTTTTTGTTGTTTATCTTGTCCATGGCTTTCATTTTCTATTTAGCCTGAAACTAAAGCAGTTAAAATTCTAAAATATCAGAACCAAAATCAATAGATAAATCAGATTAATAGCAAATAGGTTCTATTGTATGATATTTAATTTGTGATATTAATTTTGATTTGTCTTGTAAGATTATTGGATTTGATGATAAATTTGATTTATTGTTTAAAGCATGATGATTAGATAGAAATGGACTGATTGGATGAGATGAAGATGAAAATGATTTTGATCTAGATGAAGTGGCTAAAGATATTGTTTGATTACAAGGTTTTTGTGTTTGTTGACCGAGTTACTTGTTGATGTAGTTGGTGAAGGAGGTGTTAAGAAGTTTGGATTTGATTGAATGGGTTGAGATGGTGTGATTGAATGGGTTTCATTGTTTTTGTTGTTGTTAGTATGGTGAAGTTGATGATGGTGACGATATCTTCAGTGCTGAAGTAGTTTTAATGGGCCCGATCGAGAGAAGGGTCTGCAATGTCACAGCTGGGTTTCAAAAGTGGGTAAGGTCTTTGCCGGAGTGAGCTCCTGCAATAAGGGTGACGTCACAGGTACATGAGGGTACATGTCACAGGTCTCAATCTCATTGATCAGAAGGGATCCTTCTTTCCAATTTTGTCGATTCACATCTTTTCTTAAGTCTGCTTTCTCCTTGTTCTCTTTTTGTTATCGTCACTCATCAGCCTAAATCCACTGACTGTGTGCTTTCGCACTTCTCATATTGGTTCAATCTTACTCGGATCAATTGCTGTAAGTCTTTTTGTTTTTTTTGCTGATGGTACTTTAATCAATCGTTTTGTTGACTAACAAGGATCTAATTCAACTTCAGATTTAAATAATCATCATCAACAACAACAAAACAACAGAAGAAGAGTTACATTTGATGATGATGAGTTCTTATCAGCTTCTCTTCATAAACCTGATTTGAATCGATTAAATTTATCTTTTGATTCTTGTTCCAAAACTTTAGATATCAAACATCGAATCAAATCTTAGTTTTTAAAGAAATTGATTGAGATTTTTTTCATACATCTTTTCTTGAATTCTTTACCTCACATTTACTACTTTTTTCCTAGCAGCATGATATAAGTCACCATCGTTCATGCTTTTATTGGTGAGTGTTTGCTTTTTTTTCTTTTCCAACTCATTCACATTTTAATTTTTTGTTCTCTTCACATCATTCATCTCAAATTCCTTGGATTAATTATTTCATTGGTATGTCTCAACTTTTTTGTCTATATCTCATTTGTATAATCATTTTCAAGTTCATTTTTTTCTGATCATTGATTCTGTTTGCATTAGCCAAACTATGATCGACTCTATTTTTGATTTTGATCTGACTTTCCTTGGGCTGCAAATCATCTCTCCCTTGCTCAATCACTGGGTCCAGATCTAGTACTTAAGTATGTAGTACCTTTTATGACTACATGTCTCTTCAACTCATATTCACCGACTTTATTGCTTGTATTTTTTGATCCAAAGCTCTCCCACATCCTATTTGTTTTCCATAAAACTGTTCTTTCTTTTTTGATTTTGTTTTCACTGGTTATACTCTTTTAAAATCTTGTTTTCCTTATGTACGGTATGTAGTTTTATCAATTTAAAGGGTAGATTGAAATTTGCGGGCAACAATAAAAAAGCAATGCCAATTTGAGTGGGCCAAACAATCAATCGGGCTGGATGAGTGACAGTGTGAGCATTGGCTGAGCTAAATCTTTAATTATGTCACAACATGTTGATGAGATGACTCACATCATAGCAAGGTGAGATGGCTCACCTGCTCATAATGTGAGTCTTCTCACCTGTTCATCGGGCAGAAGCCTGATGTAATGAACAGGTGAGCCATCACCTTGTGGTCACATGGCCATGTTGGGTGATAGTCACACTGGCTTTCATGTGGTGCTGGTAGATGTGGCATAGTGTGAAGAGCCTAGGATTTATTGGCAGAGGCCAATTTCACCTGATCTTCACATGCCAGCCGCCCCGTGGTGTATGTGGTGTAATATATATCTTGAAGTGTTTGTGTAATCCCTGGTGGTATTATCACAGCCAAAACACCTGTTGGTCATTTGTAGCGGGTCATTG